GGGGGGGGGGGGGGTGGGTTAATTATTTTATAGTAGAATTAAATATTAATAATAAATTAATTTAATAATTATTATTTCATAATTAAAATTTTAAATAAACCTGATTTTTGAAATTTAAAACATGTTTTGGCATTTTTGAAAGGTGTAAAAGTAAACACCTTATTTATGTATTCTTCCCATGAAACTTTCCTAGAAGAATAACGAATATTGTGAATGCACACTATTCTCATAATGATATATGGGTTCGGTGTAAATGCGTGAGATGTTATAGGGTTCATACATGACGTTAGAAGAATACAAGCAATTTTTTGAATTATTTTCGTAAATTTAAATTGATAGGTCAAAACATTGAAATAAAAACACATGTTCAACACAAAAGAGATTGTTATCTCACGAGACTCAAAAGAGTTGGACAGTGTTCCAATCATGATTTTCATGTTGACACGACTACGGTGGAAGAGCGACAATTGATGCATCTGAGTGGCTATGTTAATCAATAGGAACAAAGGAGGACGATTTGTGTCAAAGAACAATTTTTTCTTTTCTTTTTTCCTATTTTTTTACTGACTTTTTTTAAACTAATCTAATCTACTAACAGACAGAAGCAGAAATCCAAACAATTTGGAGCAGCCGAAGACTATTTCCAAGAATAGTGGGTTGAATGGTGATAACTCGAGGCTGACAGAATAGAAGGATTGTGTGGTAGAATGGTCGACGCGAGATGTCGTGCCGGAAGGGATGTGTGGATTTGTGCCGAAGATGGTGACAATGGGTGGTGCTTTTAAGGACTGTTGATGGATTGTGTATATATAAGGATGTATGACTGGGGTTCTTCTTTTGAAGATAGCGACTAGGAATGGCGTGGTGTTAATGACTGGGTTGGCGGCGGGATTTGAGGCAGGTGGCAGCAATTTGTAGCGAGTTGTCGGTGGGCTAGGTATCGATAGTTGGGGAAAGGATTAAGGATTGGAGGGTATGATGGTACAGATTTGGGCTAATTTACGGTTTGGATTACTGAATTGGACTAAAATGGGCTGGGGTTGTTTGGACTACCGTTTCGACGATTTCTTCGATTTCGACGACTATTCTGGTGACCTTCACAGATTTATATAATACGGTCACAGATTATTTTGAGGTCACAAATAAACATTTTTATAGTTTGCGAATTATTTCGAGGTCACAAATTAAAAATTTTATACGTTACGGATTATTTCGAGGTCACACTTCAAAAAATTTATAGGTCACAATTTGTTTATCGTTCATAGATCAAAAACTTTGCAGGTCACGAATTATTTCGAGATCACAAATCAATAATTTTATAGGTCACATATTATTGTATTGGTCACGAATAAAAAAATTACAAGTCACAGGTATCTATCAATCACATATTTTCAAATTTATTGGTCACAGATTAATTTTTACTCGCAAATGATCTAATTTTAAGGTAAGTAGTCCATTATATGGTTACATTTGGTCACAAATCACACCGACTTGAACAACTGATGCCCGCACTGCACCGCCAGACCATTGCCTGCACCGCACCACCACCATAAAAAAAAAAAACACTGCCTCAACTGCCTGCAAGCCAGCACCACCTCACCGTCAAACCGCCATTGCCATCGACGCCACCACCTCAAACCGAAAAACCCCATCTTATTCAATTCCCAAGCATCGCCATGACCAACATAATGGTGACGACAACCACCATCACTATTACCACCACCAAACCTCGCAAACCCACAGTAGTCGCCCAAACACCAACTAAACCATCACCCAAAAATTAAAGTTGCCTACCACAAACAAAAGCATCCCCACCACCACAACCAGATCGCCTACCACCAATAAAAATTACAGGTATCATGTAACATTGCCTCGGAATCAAATAGGCGGGAGAAGGATACAGCGGCTGGTGGCGGCTCGATCTCATCTACCTCGGCATCAATCTTGTATTCCATCTTGACCAGCTCGGCATCCACAACGCTCGCATCCAGGGACGGTGACGGAGACTCCGATGGCTTAGACACCTCCGAAACCGACGTCAAAGATGGTGGCGGCGCAGTGGGAGAGAAGCCCCATCCAAGCCGTTGAGAGAGAGATAGGGGTGAGGAAGTTTTCCTTGAACTGAGAGAATTAGGGATTTGAGGTGAGGTGAGGTGGGGTGGGGTGGGGTAGGATGTGTATAAATTAAATTTTATAGTAATATTATTAATTTTTAATTAAATGTAAAAAACTTGTATCTATATATAAAATATCTGATTTTTGAAAAAATAAACCTCATATCTGATTTTAGAATTTAAAAGCTTGTTTGTGAGGGTTCAAAATCCAATTAAAATTGAAAATATAGCCGTTATTGGGTCTCACTCGTCTAATAAAAGTTAACAATAACAACTAGTTTTTCAATTTTAATATGATTTTAATTTTTACCAAACAAGCTCTAAGTTTTTAAAAGTAGGGTTTGGTGTAATTTCCTCATATTAAAAAGAGCACTTTTCAATTACTGTAAATGCAATAGTAACCAATGAGACGTTACTGTTCATTTTTCCAATTTCGACTCATCCAATCCTCCAATTTTCACTGCTATGTAAAAAAAGGCAATTTTGGGTAGATCACTACTATATAAAAAATGCAGTTTTGGGGTACTGTACCATTTTTTTTTTCCCTAGTCTGCTATAAAAAAGACGTATTGGAATTTGAATAATTTGATATGTCTTTCTATTTTGAAGAAATTGATTTTATCTTAGAAATTAGTTCCAAACATCTTAATTGTTAGCACTGTTTAAAAAAAA